AGACAACATGCATGAGGAGGATGATGTGGACAAAATACTCATTTGCCTAATAATTCTGCACTCCCTGTATTTGTTCTGGATTTTCTGCCCCTTGTAACAACAAATCAAAGTAAAAAAACACAAATACTTTGTCCTGTACGTCTCCACATCTTGAAAATCCATTGTTGAAGCTTTGCTGGCATGTTAGATGCGTAAATGTTTTTTTAAGTGAATCAGCATTAGGACTTTCAGGAATCTGTCTCAACACATCACTTCACAAACAGCAAAGCGCTTTGCCTTCATCTCCCAACAGACTCGTACACTGGGCAGCTGTACTTATCCCATGTGCATGTACATACCCAGAATTTGCTCAGTTTCCGTAGGAATTTTGTTTAATGACTTTCTTCTTTCCACACACTACACATGTTTGTTTGTTCTGTTGTTGTTGTTTCTTGTAGCATTTCGTATTCACAGAATTTACAAAATGCATGTATGGTGCTCAGACAAGTCTGTCGTCTGAGTCGTCCTCAACACATTCCACAAATTCAACATCTCAAAGTCAGGATGTTTTTCTTCTTCCACTGATATTCTTTCCTTTGCACTTTGCCTCTTGCTGAGTGCTTCGAGGTCAGTTGGTGTGTGATCTGGACAGTTTAGGTGTGACATGTGACAAATACTGGATGAAAATGGGACGCCGTCCCACAAAAATGTGATCAGCATGAGGAGGTTGCAGCCTGTGTCAGCTGTGTATGGTTCCTCCACATGCTACTGAAGGCCTTTATTGTTAAATGAATACATTAAATTGTCAATACAGTAAACAACAACAAACAACACTCAACAGCAGAATAAGCTGTTTGGTACTGACAGAGAAGCTTTAGCAAGGTTTTCATGGGAGCAGCCCACATTCAGTGCTCTACTCACTCCTTACAAATGTGGCACCATTTCAAGGGCAACAAAGTCTCTCCAGTTGTTTACGATTTATTGTGAAGAACTATTACTATAGAGCAAAGGAATAACTGACCAAACAAAAGTGTCCTTACTTGCTTTGCTACGTTTGTTCTCCACCTGCGTTACAGCTGCTTCAGTGTTTTCTCTCAGAGAGGTGCAGCTCCAGAAGGACCCAGGACACCGCAGCTCAGTATTCCAGCCTTTAGGTAAGGGATCTGACCTCAGTGCAAAATCTGGCCACTTGTTGTTCACATAAGTAACATTTATAACATTCAGTCTTTGTGTTTTCTTCATATTGGTCACAAGAGAAAATTTTCCTTCATTGTTAATTTATCTGATTCTAAAAAAACAACTTTGTTCTTGAAATGCTGAGGTGTCTGCACATGTACTTTGTCAATTAGCAAAGCACTCTGAGAGGCCAGCATGCCTTGTTTGTTTATTCTAATGCAATAAAATTGCCACTCCAAAAACTCTCAGGGGAACTGAAAGACAAGTAAAAGTAATAAAGCCCTCTCTACTTTTTCATTTCCTTTTCTTTTATTGGAAAGTAGGCTCAGCTATTGTGAGATTTCTACTACTCTTTAATCAAACTAATCAATGTTAGGTTGAGAGATTCCTTTGAGGAAAAAAACGAGTCATTCTTTCTTTTAAAAATTGCTTTAATTTGTTTGAATTAGTCAATAGGGCTGTTCGATATAACGATATATGTCGGATGACGATATAAAAACATCTATCATTTCATTTTACGCTGTCTGTGAAGGTTCTCAGTCATCCAGGTCATCGTAGTCAAAGGAGCTTGCAAAGAAAAGCGTCTGGACTTCTTTAAGTTGTCCCTTTTGTCCCTCTGTGGGGGGTCACTCCCACTAGGTTTATATCTGGGACTCTCCACCATTTGACCTTAGAACTGAAGAAGCTTCTCGAATGAGAGGTGAAACGTCTTCAAGCAACTTAAAGAAGTCCAGACGCTTTTCTTTGCAAGCTCCTTTGATTTTACGCTATCGTTTGTTTCGTGGTGTCGCAAAATAAACTGTTTACGGCAATATTTTTTCATGGTTTTGATGGTCACTGTAGTGGCTAACTTAATTTCTTAAAGTTCTCTCTTTCTCTTATATTTAATATAACCACACTACAGACGGACAAGCGCCTGTTTTTATGCGTTGTCGTTAGCAACAACAACGGTAACACCATCGCGTGTCCGCTTGTATATGTTCCACATAGACCTTTCACAATAAAGCTCAAGATCCTGTTGAGACTTTTCAAAATAAACTGAATCACGTGAAAGAGCAGATTATTTACGGATGAGAAGCAAAAAAGAGCCGCCAGGTGCTAAAAAATAAACCTTAGACTCAAACGTTAGAACAGGCTTTTCCCCGCAGCACGCCGTGTAATAAATACTCACGAAGAAAACGGCGGCCGTTACAACTTATGTCTAAAAATGTATCGTTTCATGCATCGGTTAAAACACTGCTCCAGCTACACGACGCGCAGCTGGAAACACTTCACGCAAGTCGAGCTGCCCGAGATTCACAAATTTACAGAAAATGTTAAATTTTTGTGATTTATATCGTTATCGGGACGATAGAATTCTTATATGGGGATATGAGATTTTGGTCATATCGCACAGCCCTATTAGTCAATGCCAACTACAAGTGTCAACTTCAATTACAGGTCGAGGAAAGAACCGAAGACAAAGCATCTTCTAGAGGTCGTGGAGAGGATGAAGAGAGAAGACGGCGAGGAACTGCTTTTTCAGATCACAACACCAAGGCCATCGCAGCTCAGCACATTCACAGCATGTTCACCTGCACGGACAAACACGCACTCATTTCCATGGCAGCTGACCGTGGAGGCACACAGAGTTTCTGGAGACAAACTTGTATTGCACTTGAAATACCTTCTCTATTCATACATATTTGCACACATTTGCACAATCAGCTACACTGAACATGCTGCCGTGATGTAACTGGACACACGAGAGATTCATCCTCCCGACACGCACATGCATTTCAGCCTAAGAAGAAACGAAGCGCTAAATGAAACGCTCTGCTATGCTATACTTACACAGGCCTGCTTTACATAGTGTTCAGAGCACACCCAGGGTTCTAGCCATTCAAAGTAGCTGCTATCACAACTGGAACAATGGATACAGTTGCAGGTGTGCGTGTCTTTGCCCTAACAGAAATGCAAGTATTGCATTATGTGTTGAGTTTGTTCCAGGTCAGTTGGTTTCTAAATTATTTTCTGGTTTTATCTTACAAAACTTATGGTCTAACACTGATATGTAGCTTAAAGACACAGTTTGGCAACCAAGGACCCTTATGAATCCTAATTCTTCTCTCAGCTCAACAGTGATTCACCAGGGATTTGTAGTTTGAGGACAGGGTTAAAACTTATACACCACCACTACCCACAGAAAAGGCTGACCAGAAACCAAAGAGAATAGTCACATTTTTTTTCTGTTACTTGGATTATTGATTTTGTGATGTAATTTGTTTAAACATTGTGTAAATATATAGTTAATATTTTATTGTCACACAAGATGTTCATATCATGTTTTTAAGCCCCTTTGCTTTGCTAATCTGAAATTTAAAAAACTGTAATGTTAGATATAACTCTGGGTGCTGCTAGGCACTTGCTCAATAACGGACTCGTATGCATTTGCAAAGTGTTTTGGGGAAGTGATGAGGCAAAAACATTATGTGGCTCACAGAAAAACACTCAGTAAGGCTTCATGGTCATTCATTACTTTGCATAATGTGACGAGCTTTGCATAATGTGCATTAGCTAGTGACGGTTAGCTATCCCAGCTAGCTAAAAACTTATTCCAGATCCCACTGACATTTGTAATTATGCTAATAGCTAAAAGTTTATTCTGGAAGGGCATCTTTTAAAATGGCACGTAATAGGCACACAGATATTAAATTAGATATTTGAAGACTGATATAATATTATTGCTCAATAATCAGTCTGTTTAACAGTGCAGGGTTGCATGGAAGTTTTAGCATGTAGTTGTCAAACCATGTTCAGTTTCTGTGTTCACTGTGTGTTGCAGAAGGCGTTGATTCTCTCTTGGCTTTGTAATGAATATATACTTGTAGGTGCTGCTTTCAGTCTTGTGAGGTGCTTCTCTGCACTCTCGCTCACCTGACCAAGGATTCAGCACGGCACTAATCTGAAATACAGTCGCAATTTACTTACACTTTGACAGCACAGTAAATGGGTTTAAATGGTGTGAGTTGCATTTGACAGTTGATTTTTACCGCTCAAGTTTATGAAAAGCACCTGTAGAATTGGAAAGTTAACTTTAAGTGTTATATTATCGAAGTATTAGGGTTGCTAACAACAACTTAAGATATTTTGTTATTAAAATATTCTTATAGGGAAACCCACAGATCCAAAATCATTTTAAAATTCACTCATGGTCATTTTTAATTGAGTATGAGCCTCTGTCCCATAGTTACAACTGGAGGTTCAGCTCTTCATGAACAATATGGCAACCGTGTTGACACAATGGTCCAATGAACCAAGCATTGCAGCATCTACATGTATATACCTTATCTCAGCTGTTGTTATTGAACAGAATGGAATCGGATGTATTGTGATATTACCTCCGACTTTCTTAGGCCCCAGTGTGGCAGCTATGGGTTACTGTTATCATATAACAGTCTTGAAGTTGTAGGCATAGCGTCACACTGTTCATTTGCAGTACCTCTGCCGTCATGTAACAACCACTGAAGCTACCATAAAATCTGACTCCGTTGTGAATATAAACCTGGAAACTGGATAGACTCGCCTCGCTACAGTGCCCGTGTCTCCTCGTTGTGGGGGTAACATTCCTTACAGTGTTAACAGCTGACTTTCACACCAGTTTGTTGAAGTTGCCTTAGTAAACTGTGCATGATATTTTAGCTTGTGAAGAAATTATATTTGCTTCAGTGTATCTTCAGGCATTTATTTTGTGTATGTAAATAACTCACTATGGGTGTATGTATTTTTGTAGTTTCCTATTTGCACAAGCCGGAAGTGTCCTCTGAAGCCTGTTCCCCTCCCTTTGTGTCTTTCCTTACACGGTTCCAAAGTATGACCCCATATTTTACCAAACCCCCCATTCCTAAACCAGTGAATGGAGAAAATATGCCCTGTAGGTACTTTCTAGTATCAGTTTAATAGGGGTCACCACTACCCTTCATAATTTGCACAGCCTGTTGTTAGAGAGCAGCTTTTCACAGTAGATTCACTAAACAAAAGGACATACAGTGATAAGTACACTCATCTGTTAATAGACAGGTGAGAATTTCACAACTGTGTTTTTAATAGTTCCCATGTGATCATTTGAGCCAAGAGCTTATGTGTATGTCCTGTTCAATGAATATTATCTGGAGACAAAAGTGATAATGGCTTTTGGATATTGATACTCTCCTCTGTCCTTAATTTGCTCTGACATCTTGCCTGTCCTCTTCCTTCTTATTCAGTGCTGCTGAGGTATCCTCATTAACACCTCTGAGGTGTTGAGGCAACTGAGGCATTATTAATAGTTTTAGATACACTGTTTGGTGCCCTTGGACACATCATCAGTGATGTAACCTGAGGTCATGGGGGGTTTCGGGTCTCTCCATTGAAAAAGAAGATAGGCATTATTTTGTGACACGTTCAAGGCCTAAGCATGTGATCTGTAGTAAAAAGGTCCATAAAATATGTGAAAATCTCTCGGACCACTGCCCTCCTGCCTCGCGGTATGTGGTCACCTCTGAGCTAAAGCGGTACTGAGTAAGCACTGGCTTTGAAACTTTCAGGGTGGTGCTTACACCGCTGAACCTTGCAGATATATTAGTTTGTTTTGTCTGTAGTTACCAGCCCGGCTGCCTTTGTAAGAATTCAGCTCTGTATGTATGAGAGAGACATGAAAAAGTCCTTCCTTCCTGTTTTTTTTTTTATCCTTTTGCATATCTGTCACACTTACAGGTTTCAGATCATCAAACAAGTTTTAATATTAAAATATTAATATAATATTTTAATATTAGACAAAGACTGATCCAAACCCAATGTAAGGTTTATGTCACAGCTCGCTAACAGTATCAGTAATTAACGACAGTTTTGTTTCTTTAATGCTTAAATCACCAGTTTGTGCAACATATTTAATCAAAATCATATTTTTAATACTACAGTGTAGTAAATGTCATTATCTATGAACTTTCAAATTTACTATTATACATAAATCCAAAAAAATAAAATAAAAAGCACATCATTATTATTTTTGTATTAAGATAAATAAACTAAATTGTTATAAATTTTTGCTGATATTTAAGTACAAAATTAGTTTTGGTGGTTGAATGCTACACCTGATTGATGTCTGACTAAAGTCCAGTGTCGGCTCAAATTTGAGTATAAAAACATGAATTCAGTAATAAATAACAATCACATTTTTAGTTTTAAACGTGTTTTTAACAGATATCTAAAATATCTGTTTTCTAGTTTTTATGAAAGGTGGTCTAAAAAATTGGTAAGCGCTCTCCATACAGTAAATAGATACAGGAAGGCAACCCAGCAGCCTTTGTAAGGCTTTTGGTTGGGAGACCAGTCATTGCATTTTGAGCAGAATGGCTCTAAATCACTGCTGTGTATTCCAGACAACCAGTGTGGTCGTGCTTTAAACTTGCATTCTTTCCTAAGGCCAGCTGTGAGCAAGTCCTCTAGTTGCAAAAAGAAGTCCAGTAGAAGTCTGTTGTTTAAGCCTGTGATCTCAGTAAACACTGTCCCCATCAGCCTATGCTAGTTCATGTTCTAAATGATGGTCCCTGCTAAAGTGAAAAGGAAGAGCAAAGCTGGGAATGCTGTAAGGCTGTGACTGATGTGTTGCTATTGTATAAGCTTCACGCACAGTGTTGGGAAGGTTACTTTTAAAATATATTCCATTACAGAATACAGAATACATGCCCCAAAATGTATTCTGTAACCTATTCCGTTACGTTACTCAATGACAGTAACGTATTCTGAATACTTTGGATTACTTAATATATTGTGGCGAGTTCAGACAAGGAGGAGACGGAGGTATC